TGATCAGAAGCACAGTCGTAGAATAGAATAACAGAGTTGGAAGGGACCTTGGAGGTCTTCTAGTCCAACCCGCTGCACAGGCAGGAAATACTATGCCCTTTCAGACAGATGGTTATCCAATCTCTTCTTTAAAACTTCCAGTGTTGGAGCATCCACAACTTTTAGAGGCAAGTTGTTCCACTGATGAATTGTTCTCACTGTCAGGAAATTTCTCCTTAGTTCTAAGTTGCTTCTCTCCTTGATTAGTTTCCACCCATTGCTTCTTGTCCTGCCCTCAGGTGCTTTGGAGAATAGCTTCACTCCCTCTTCTTTGTGGCAGCCCCTGAGATATTGTGAGACTGCTATCATGTCTCCCCTAGTCTTTCTCTTCATTAAACTAGACATACGCAGTTCCTGCAACTGTTCTTCATATGTTTTAGCCTCCAGTCCCCTAATCATCTTGGTTGCTCTTCTCTGCACTCTTTCCAGAGTGCAGAATACTTGATGCAGTATTCCAAGTGTGGCCATACCAAGGCCTTATAAAGTGGTATTAACACTTCACATGATCTTGATTCTATCCTCTATCCTCTGTTTATGCAGCCTAGAACCGTGTTGGCTTTTTTGGCAGCTGCTGCACACGGCTGGCTCATATCTAAATGGTTGTCCACTAGGACTCCGCGAGAGAGAGAGAGAGAGGGAGGGAGGGAGGGAAGGAGAGAGAGAGAGAGAGAGAGAGAGAGGAAGGGAAGGAGAGAGAGAGAGAGAAAGAGAGGGAGTGTCAGGTTTCGATGTCGTCTCAAATAAAATAAATTGCATTTCCAAACAAATAGTCTTTGAAGAAATCTTTCATTTTATTAAGCACGACAACCTGTCCCCGATTGTGGCGTAGCCAACACTGACTTCCTGACCTCAAACCTTCCCTTTCCGTTCCCCAATTCTCTGCATCTCATTGGCCCTCTTCCAAATCACTCTCCCCATATCTAGTACTTCAGCTCCCAGGAATGTCCCCCCTCCCATCTCATCTCCTAGGGGACATGATCTTCAGGGAAAATGAGTAGGTGAGAAGTCAAGCGTCCTCTTGCCAGCTGCCCCCTCTTCTCCTTCTTATGTCAGCACTAGAGTAAATGAAGATTGAAGTGCTGACAGGGAGAGGGAGGGAGGGAGAGGGAGGGAGGGAGAGGGATAGAGAGAGAAGGAGAGGGAGGGAGAGAGGGAGAGGGAGGGGAGGGAGGAAGAGAGAGAGAAAGAGAGGGAGGGAGAGAGAGAGAAAGAGAGAGAGAGAGAAAGAGAGAGAGATTTTATGTGCTAGGGCTGAAGCATAGCAACTAGGAAGAAAGGAGAGCTCCTGAGTCCCGGGGGGGAAAAAAAAGTAATCTGGAAGTTTCTTCTCTCCTTCTTCATTTTTATTCTGACATCAAGGCCACTTACGAACGTTTGCCCGCGATGTGTGTACCACAGAGTGCCTCGCATCTTCCTTAATGGAAACCCGCTGATCCGTAAACACTTGTGAGAGAGCCCGGCGCTCAGGGGCAGTGTGATATTAATGTTCATATCAGTGATTGATCAAAAGGATTTGCAAGGAAAGCATAAAAGTATTTAATTATAATTAGACCAGGAACGGCTCCGTAATGGCGCCGACATTTGAATAAGGTCACGTCTTGCCCATACACCTTTCATATTAAATGCCATTCGTTTCAAGGGCCCCGAAATTCGTTTTGGAAATCGTCAGCGTGCGACGCACCAGGTAAATTAAAAAAATGTCCCTGGGTTTTTTTGTTTTTTTTTCTTCTTCCCCTCCTGGTTTGGAAAGATGATTGATCTCCTTTGAGAAGCAAACAACAGCATCCGGTGGTCCAGGAATGCCTTTGAGAAAAGTGTCAGGGACGTAAGAACTTTTCCTTGCCTTTTGGACATCAATCGGGTCAAAGAATAGGAATATCTCAAGATAGATTTAGATTAATTTCTTCCTGCTGGAGATGGATGTCTCCACTGAATGTAAACCTTCCCTCCCCTCCCCAAATAACCAGGGACTGATCTTACCAAGGTAAGGGAGCCAAAGAAAATTACGTGCAAAAAAAAAAAAGAAGAAGACACCCCTTGGAAGGGGTCAAAGAGAATCGAAACGCCAGAGCGAATTTTAATCCCTCGTTTTGGTTCCAATTCAGATTCTTCATTTGCGTAATAATTGTGCACCAGGTAATTATGACACAAGGGAGCTGGGAATAATAACCACAAGCAAATAACCAAAGCATTGTGTGTGTGTGTGTGGTGTAGAACAGCACAATGATAATTGTTGGAGAAGAGGCGCAGCCCTTTAGTAAAACAAGAATTTAGCCCAGGAAAAGTGGAGAGGGTGGCAAAGAAACTCAAGAAGCTCTTGCCTTGATTCTCTTTGGCATATCCTACCTATAACAGATGCGGTGGCTCGGTGGCTAAGACGCTGAGCTTGTCGATCGAAAGGTCGGCAGTTCAGCGGTTCGAATCCCTAGCGCCGCGTAACGGGGTGAGCTCCCGTGACTTGTCCCAGCTTCTGCCAACCTAGCAGTTCGAAAGCACGTTAAAAAAAAATGCAAGTAGAAAAATAGGCACCACATTTGGTGGGAAGGGAACAGCATTCCATGCGCCTTTGGCATTGAGTCATGTCGGCCACATGACCACGGAGACGTCTTCGGACAGCGCTGGCTCTTCGGCTTTGAAACAGAGATGAGTCAGGAACGACTAGCACATATGCGCGAGAGGAACCTTTACCTTTACCTATAAGTACAGGTAGTCCTTGACTTACAACCTCAATGGAACCTAAAATTTCTGTTGCTAAGTGAGACATCTGTTGAATTTTGCCTCAATTTAGGACCTTCCTTGACACCGTTGTTACATGATGTTACTATAAAGCAATATTTTCCCATTATATAAACAGAGGAAACGGTGTTTTCCCATTTTAGTTTTTAGCCGGGGAACTGATCTTCCAAGAAGCCGAAAATTATGGCACAACTCCCATGTTATTTTCTGCACTGAGACAGCTTTATTGATTTACAACCCACAGGTCAATGGAATGGAATTGCCAATAAATTAGGGGTGGGGAGAGCAATTTGCCTATCCCAAACTCATTTATAGAATTAAGCCCATAGACCCTAAACTCCTAAACTTAATACTTACATTAGGTTTTTTAAAAAAAAAAAAAATCTCAAAAAAGCATTTTTGTAACCAAGGTAAAATGCTTACAACCAGGAGTGAAATTCAAAAGTTTTCCCTACCGGTTCTGTGGGCGTGGCTTGGTGGGCGTGGTGTGGCTTGGTGGCTGTGGCTTGGTGGGTGTGGCAGGGGAAGGATACTGAAAAACCCCGTTCCCTCCACACTCCAGGGGAAGGATACTGCAAAATCTCCATTCCCAGCCCACTCCAGGGGAAGGGTATTGCAAAATATCCATTCCCACCCCACTCCAGGGGGAGGATACTACAAAATCCCCATTCCCAGCTCACTCCAGGGAAAGATACTGCAAAATCTCCATTCCCAGCCCACTCCAGGGGAAGGATACTGCAAAATCTCCATTCCCCCCCCTCCAGGGGAAGGATACTGCAAAATATCCATTCCCACCCCACTCCAGGGGGAGTATACTGCAAAATCCCCATTCCCAGCTCACTCCAGGGGAAAGATACTGCAAAATATCCATTCCCACCCCACTCCAGGGGGAGGATACTACAAAATCCCCATTCCCTCCCCCCTCCTGGAGGAAGGATACTGCAAAATCTCCATTCCCAGCCCACTCCAGGGGAAGGATACTGCACCCCCCTCCGGGCCCAGCCAGAGGTGGTATTTGCTGGTTCTCCGCACTACTCAAAATTTCCGCTACTGGTTCTGCCGAACCTGTCAGAACCTGTTGAATTTCACCCCTGCCTACAATCCCCCATTGCATTGAAGATATTGCTTTTTCCTGCAATGAGGGAGAAAAATGTACAAAAATGCATATTTGAAGAAAAAGGACACAGGGTACACACGAATGCAAAACCTTCAGGTTGACTTATGCACACTGGGGAAAGGGACATCAGTCTGTTGAAACCTAAAACTTTAATGAGTTAACAGTTTAATCTTTTGTCCCAGATTCAATTTATGGGGTTTTTGCTAGTCAGATTGTTATATTGGCTGATCATTCTGGAGTTTGAAGAAGGGATGCCGTTAAAATGAGACTCTAGTCAAACTTGTGGGTCCCCCAGGAAATGCCACACACCCAAGAGTGTCCATGGGAGAGTCGTCAAAAAAGTCAAGATGGCAGACAAGAGGTATTAGACACATCGGTATTTGTTTTGGGGCAAATGTCTAAGTTAGAGTAATGTTTGAAGAAGCCGATTCTTTAGAAAACATAGCAGACTGTTCTGGGCACAAAGAAACACAGGAATGAAGGAAGGAGAAGGGGATGGAAAAGAGGATGGATGGATGGAAGGAGGGAGGGAGAAGGGGATGAAAAAGAGAGATTGGAGGAAAGGAAGGAAGGAAATAAAAGAAGGAAAGAAGAGGACGGGAGGGAAGAGGAAAGAGGGAAGGAAGAAGAAGGGGATGAAAAAAGAGAAGGAAGGAAGAATGGATGGATGGATGGATGGAAAAAAGGAAGGAAGGCATCTAGTTATATGTATTCAAGGAAGGAAGGAAGGAAATAAAATAAGGAAAGAAGAGGGAGGTAGGGAAGAGGAAGGAAGAATGGATGGATGGATGGATGGAAGGAAGGAAGGCAGGCAAGCAGACAGGCAGCTAGCTAGATGTATTCAAGGAAGGAAGGAAGGAAGGAAGGAAGGAAGGAAGGAAGGAAGGAAGAAGGAAGCTAGCTAGATGTATTCAAGGAAGAAAGGAAGGAAAGAAGGAAGGAAGGCAGCTAGCTAGATGTATTCAAGGAAGGAAGGAAGGAAGGAAGGAAGGAAGGAAGGAAGGAAGGAAGGAAGGCAGCTAGATAGATGTATTAAAGGAAGGCAGGCAGACAGGCAGGCAGGCAGGGAGGCAAGCAGACAGGCAGCTAGCTAGATGTATTCAAGGAA